GAACTATTGGGTTGTCGGAAAAGTCATGATGTCGTTTTTCTATGTTTTTCATTGCAAAACTGCGTCATGACTTTTTCGACAACCCAATAGTTCATTTCTAGATAACAAATTGGAAATCTGATGTTATGGTGTGGATGGGCCACTATGAATTCCAGGCACAGCACCAGCATAGTGAACAAGAAATGTTCTTCCTGGTGATAGCGAAATAATCTGCTTCTAAATATCATCCCAATGAATGAAGTATAGATGCTTTATGTTGGTGTTACTCTTTATACACACACACACACACACACACACACACACATATAAAGAGTATATGTGTGTGTATTATATATATACACACACATAGACGTATTAGTACATAATACTACATAGAGACATCATGATAATTGATATAAAAATAGCTTTGACTGACAATCTTCCATTGAATCAAAATACAGAGGATATTATTTTTTAGAAGGAAAAAAGAACTTATAACTTGTACCCATTTTCATGTTTTCAGAATTTGGAATTTAAACTTTTGTAATCACCCCATACCGTAAACAATCTCACTAAAGAAATAGAAGATGCTTTATGTCATGGAAAGTTGGTAGAAAATCTGTTTTTCTTTAACATGTCATAGGATATATCCCTTTAAAAAATAAAATGTAAACTTCAGTCTGACTGTCTATCTTTAGCTAACTTTATCTGTCGTCAGCTCATACTTTGTTAAAAGGATGACAGTAGCCCCAGTGTTTGCAAATGTAAATAGGCATGACATTCAGATCTTCTTATAACTTCATAGGAGATATTCATTATATTCTGTTTTAAAACAGGTGACAATTAAAATTTAGCATTTCAAAAATCTCTAGTCTGGAATTGAGAAGCACATCTTTGCTTCTCATTCTGTGACTTAAAACAAGGTTCCTAAAATTACTGCACTTCACTTTCCTAATCTATAAAACTACTAAGTGGTTGGGATAGATCAGTGGTTCTCAACCTTTGCTGTGCACTAGAATCATCTAGGGAGCATTAGAAAAGTAATAACGCCCAGGCTCCCACCCCATGGTTTAATTTTTAAAGGCCTCCAGGTAACTTTAATGTATAGCACGTGTTGAAAACAAGTGATCACTGAGATGACTTCTAGCAAAATTTTCTAATTTTATGATTCATTGTGTTTTGACAGTAACAATTGCTAGAAATACCAGTGCTCTCAGTATTTGCAATGTCCTGAAAAATGTAAATTACCTTGAAAGACTGTTTCTACTCAAAATTGAGAACCTCTTCTCCTCTGTACTCCAAAATTTTCTGTATTGAGAGAATAACTTGCATCAAAAGCCACATATATGTCATTCAATTGGGTGTAATATATTCATTAAACATAGCATAGATTTATCTAATTCTTAGAAGATAACATTCTGATTGGGGAACAATTTCTTTCAGTATGCATACATTGTAAGGACAGTGTACTAAGAAATGGCGTGTAAAGTTTTTCTTTTAATTGCTATTGTAACTATTTTGATTTTGAATAAATTGACCATTGATATCCTAAGAGATGATGAACCTCCTACAGTATATAACTTATTACTAATAAATACTTCATACATTGATTTATTATGAAGCAGAATAGACAGTTTTATAAAAGGCTGATTCAAGTGGAATACATAGTTGTATTGGTATTTCAAAAGATAAAAGTTTGATTTTTTTGAAAGTTTCAAAATGTCACTATAAGTTTTTGCTATCAGTTTTTTACTAAACAACTTTTCATTGGAGTGAACGAATAATTTTTCTTTTAATCTTAAATACTAGAGAATATTACCACATGCTGTATTATTTAAATCTTCCATAAAACCAAGAACCCAACAATATACTCAGATCCAAAAAGAAACTGTGTAAATTCATAGGAAATTGGGGAAAGGATTCAAATAAATATTAACCTGAGAAGTAATAGATTTTATGTCATGTATTTTCACATAGTGCTATGCTTGTGGGTATATACTTTTGAATACTTGGGACAGGCAGGCTCTTTTCTTCTTTTAGCCAGCCTAATAACAGGTGGAAAGAAAAGAGGTGCAGATGACAGCTAATAGCTAACATGGGGGAATGTAGGTGTAACCCAAAAATTGTGTGCTAGTTGTAGGGAATTTCTGCAGACCTAATTATTTTTGAAAATTATTGGGAAAAAAATTTTTTTTTTTAAGATTTTAATTGGGGAATTCGGGGTATGGGAACAGTGCTGGGGAATTGGGGGAAGGGGAACAGACAAGTTGCTGTCGTTTTGTTCTTCAGTCTAGTTGTGGAGGACGTTGCTTCACCGGCCCAAGTTGGCACCATCATTGCACTCTTCCTGGGTGAGGCAGATCGGTCGCCGGCTTCTGGACGGCCTCTCACTGAGGCTGATGGCCGCTCACGCTGGCTACTGGCTACACACGGTAGCCCATGGCAACCCACTGCCGCAGGGGCTGCAGTCTACGCCGTCGCCGGCAACTCACGGCAGCCCAGCTCCAGGTTGAGCTGTTGTTCAGCATCTTAGCTGTGGAGGGCAGTGTCACTGGCCCTCATATGTGGGATCCGAACCGAGGCCCTCTGGCGTCCCAAGCCAGTTCTTAACCATCGTGCCACTCGGCCGGCCCTGAAAAAAATTTTAATGCCCAGAAAAAAACACTATGAAAAAGAAATACTATGTGATTTTCAGTATAATATGTATGTCTGTATCATCATTCTGTTTGCTTCTGACATTATCAGTCTGTTATTCTTATTATCTTGAATGTTTGTACATATTTCATTGTATTTGTTTGCCCTATTGGTGACAACCTAAACTTAATAACTAAGAAAAATTCACAGATATACTATTAATCATAGCATGCAAAACTATGACATTGGAAGAATAATGTGACTGATGGAATAGTGCACATGTTTAAAAACCTTGTTGTGTACAGACAGGGGAAACTGTTTTGCTTCACATCACCTCTACAATATATCAGTTTGCCTTACAAGGTCTCCCTGAAATCAATCAGACACATGTAGCATGCTTTCAAAGAATTTTGTACAGTAGGATTCAGCTATGAAATGTTTGAAAATACAGTTGACATATATTATAGGTTTTGTAATAATAGTGACATGTATGCTAATGATTTAGAAACTAATCTATAAGAGTTTTATATCGTTTTAAATCATCAAGAGGTTTTATGAAACAATATTAAATTTAGCATCAGAATGGCATCACACTTCTTATTACTCAAGTCTCTGTCATGACCAAATGTAGAAATTGGTAGTACACCCTCACCTTTTAAGATCTCCTGTCCTCTTCATCGGCTCCAAATTCTGGTGTTCTATCAGATGCATTACCTGATGCATTATTTTATTTTATTTCTTGTTTTAAACTGTAAAGAGCACATTATGTTATACTCAGTCATTCATATTATTATCCATTAGTTTAATCTTAAAGTCAACAAAGGGATAATAATTCCAAAGAAAGTTAAGGACAGAGGTTATGTAGCCTCAGGAAGGCTACATATAAAAAGGAGAGAGTGTAATTAGAAGCATTTCATTCTGTAGGGAGTGAAAGACTAAATAAAACATGGAGACCAGTGTCATTTTCTTCCCAAATTTGCCTGGGGCTGGGACAGGTCAGCAATGCAATCATCGTACAAAGTAAGGCAAATTGACCTACTTTTCTCAAGATGTCAAAATTTACATGATCTTTAGAGTCTGGCAACATTATGTTGAACATAGACTTTATATCTGACAGCCAAAGTTTAGTGATGCTAACATTTCCTTGAGTAAACAAACTTTTATTACTTGGAGATATATATATATATATATGTATATATATATACATATATATATATATGTATATATATATACATATATATATGTGTATATATATACATATATATATATATACACACACACATATACACACACACATATATATGTATATATATGTATATATGTGTATATATGTATATATATATGTGTATATATGTATATATATATAACTTTGTCTTACATGAGGTCTATTTACAATAAAGTATTTTTTTTCATTGTTAAGACTTTGAATGGGTTTACTGGTCATCACCACATAATGTGAGAGTGTAAGTGCTGGACTCCATCTTTAAAATCACAGATACTGCATTAAAGCAAAGCTGTCATCCAGGATGAATAATGCAGATTTTATGTTTTAAAATATGGCAGATTGTCTTAAGTGTATCTTTCTTCTTTAAACTTGAATCAGTTAAGATAAATGTTTTTCATTTGGCCTTAACTGTTTGTCACAGGAAGACAAGAGCTAGACAGCTAATGAAATAAATTGAAGTACTGCTATGGTTAGGTAGAAGTGGAATTTAATACTGTTGCAGTTAGTTGAAGGAATAATTGATATATTATTTTTAATTTGGCATGGTTGCATGACATCATGAGAAAGAAAGGAGACCTGCTGAATTCTGAATAGGCTAGTAGAAGTATTGGGGTGAACTTTAGTATAATTTGTATGTACTTCTCCCCAAATACAGTGTATTCCTTCTTAAAAGAAATAGTAATTAAGAGCATTTTGTCATTAATAGTAATGATATCAAATCATGAATATTAAAAATATATTACTTTTAGATACCAAAAATAGAGCATATGAATTTTATTCTGTAGCTCAACTTGGAAGTCCAATGGTCACAGAGAAGTCTCGCTCATTGAAATCTCTCAGAAATAGACCGCATGGTATTGAACCCAATAGCTTTAAGCATTCAGGTGAAATTAAAAGTATCATCTCAAAATTAACATCAAACCATGTGTTATCCTCTTTGAGTGTCACAGTAATTTTAACCCAGATAGTAACTTGGTTTGAAATTTAAATACACACATACACACAGGTTTGCTAGTTGGAGGGTTTCCATGCCTGGGGGAGGGGAGGTGATAATTGGTGCAGTCAGTATGTAACACGTGTAATGATAATAAAGTTGATTGGTTAAACTAGATAGCTTGCTTTTTTTTTTCTTTTCTGCCTCTTCCTGTAGAGTAGTTCAGCTGGGGGTGGGGGGGGAATGTGGAAGGATGCTCCCCCATCCTTCCTCCCCGCTAAGAAGGCGTAGGTTGATACCACTTTTATTGTTCTGCTGGGGTGGAAAAATAAACCATATCCTTTAGGATTTTGAATGGCTACACGGAAGAGAAAATTGAAGCAGGCCCCTTTCCCGCTGCCCACCAGACTTTGGGGTGGGGTTATTCTGCTAAATGTTCTAGCAGACTTGGGGTTAGCTTAATGCTTCTACCCCAGGGCAGAGAGGCGGGACAGGGGAAGAAACGTCAAGGGCTTCAGAGGCATGTCAGGCTGAGTGAAATGTGGAGTGAAAAGCTTATCTGAAACCCACCCCTCCCCTGGATACCAGGCATAGGCAATGAGAATCGGAACCAGCTGATGCCGCTGCTGCTGTTTCCCGTTTCCAGGGTGAAAATTTCACAGCAGCTAATTCTAAAGGGAGGAAAAATCCCTAACCAGCAGCGGAGAAGATCCTATCACCCAACCCAAGCTATGTAACCTTTTAGGCAGGCTTTTCAGAGAAATCCGCATTTTAAAAGCAAGCATTCACGATCCAAAAATACGGGACGAGAATCCGAGCTGGTATGAAAATATGAAAAGCCTCTTTACACTCTGAGTGTTTGAAACGATCCGATGAGCATAGGAAGTGGCTGCCAGCGCTCTGGCGGCTCCTCGTGCTGCCACCGCCGCTGCTGTTCCTCGCAGAGGGCTGGACAGAGCTAGTCCCGGTTTCAGCACCCCCGGCGCTGGACAGCTCTCTGCACGCCGCACCACCGCCTGCTTGCTTTTTTCCAAACACTCTCGGTTTGCATTACTGGAGATGCATCTAAATTACATCCTGTTCAACAACAAGTAGATTTTTTTTTCCTGTACGGGAATTACAGTAGACAATTCTCATAATTAAACTGCATTTTCTTCTTTACGGATTTGGCTGTCAGGCGTATTTATCCCTATCTCCCCCCCCACCCTTTGCAGGAACGAGTCTTTGGGAACGTGGTCCACCCAGGGATGTAAAACTGTGCTTACCGATGCATCCCATACGAAATGCTTATGTGATCGTCTCTCTACCTTCGCCATTTTGGCTCAGCAACCTAGAGAAATAGTAAGTAACAAAGGGAAAACACGGCTTTAATGCAAAGGCAGGGACATTGTGGAGAGTGTTTCTCTAGGGAACTGCATTTTAATGGGGAAATGGAAAATGTTGCAGGGTGGCAAAATTGGGTTCGTCTCCTCCTTAGCTACAGTAGCATGGTGAAATGAATTGTAGTTGGTGTGCTATAAGTAAATTCTACTCAATTTTATGTCTTCTAACTTGAAATTTCTGCAGTATAGTGTTGAGGATATACTCCAATCATATTATTAATATGTTTCAAACTTTCAAATAAAAATAATTGCCAACTTATCCTTTATTTTATAACTGGAAAGCTGTTCTGGGGGGAATTTGTGAGGATGCTGTTGGTAGTAAATGAAGACCCCAGATACTACAGCCAAACACATTGCATATCTGCATTGGATATTTTCAGTACAGGTTTTTTGGGGTGTCCTTGGGTATTTATCTTTAAAAAATCAAATGAAGTTTTCATGAAAGTATAGACTGTCAAAAAACTGTAAAATCATTTCTTAAAAGTATATAGGTTTGTTAAACTAGTTTCTGAAATAGACAACTGTATAAACTGCCTTAAAGAAAAATATTCTCATCAAATATATTTTAAAAAATTATTTCAAAAACTGAAATACTGAAAAATAATTAAGATAACTGTGACTTTTTGTCTAAATGTGGCCTAAATATGAATCACTCTTCTTATTTTAATAGATAACCAAGAAAATACCTAATATAATTTAATGTGCATATCTAAGGTTTGGAACACAGTTGATCCTAAAGTGCATTTCTTCAAACTTCCAATATTAAAAATATGAAAAAACAACAGATTTCATTAGTTATTATCATGTTAGTATCTCAGGAAAGAAACCTCTCATATCATGACTGCTTGTAATCTTTGTATATGTTTTAAAAGATATAAGGCTTATTTTTCAAGGTCATGTATTTAGGGACTGATACTAGCATTGTGAAAATTATCTCTACATATTTTGTTCATAGAAAAGAATCACAAAATATATTTTAAAGTCTTGAAATTTGATTTTCTTCTATATCCTTAGAGGCCAAGCAGGTGAACTTAAATGAGAGAATACTTAAAACAAAGTTGTCAAAAGTCAGAAAGTTTGAAAAATTTTCAATATCTAGTTACCAGATTTGGGTCATATAGTGAGTTGTAAATGGGAGGATCAAAGTAAATTTTACCAAAAAAACATTGTGAAATAGCTCAACTGTAGTTAGTCGAAGAAAAAATGGATGTTGCTTCAAATTTTAGCTAAGGAAAATATAACGTGAATGTTGACCAAGTTGTAGTTTTAGTTATTTATTTTAGAGAGGCATTAAGTGGCCAATATGTCATAATCAAGCACTCAAAACTGTAAGGCCTTTATCACTTTGCAGTGGAAGAGAGTGGGGAGTTAGAATTAGTCATTTTGAGGTTGAGAATATGTGAACAGGGTGGTTACTGAGTAATTATCTGGTAACTATAACAACTATCTTGGCTATTTTTGAATGTTAGAATAGTTTTGCTGAGTTTAGGAGATATTTTAATTTATTTAAAAATTATGTCTTTTTTGTTTGTTTCTTTTGTTTAATTTACAGATCATGGAGTCCTCTGGTACACCTTCAGTCACCCTAGTAGTAGGCAGTGGCCTTTCTTGCTTGGCTTTGATCACCCTAGCAGTTGTCTATGCAGCATTATGGAGGTATGTAATCAATTAATACACTTGAAATGTAATGCTCTGTTTTTCAGAGTTAAATCAGGGAATATGATAACCATTATTATGTCTCCTTCATAATTTATAGGAAGAAGTGTTTTTAGAATACTTATAATTGCTGTCATTGAGCTATGATAAATGAGCTGAATAATAATAATAATAATAATAATAATAATAATAAAATAAGTGTTTACCTAATTTTCTTGCCTGTATTTTCCTATTTCAGAAAAATGAAATACACACACACTTTTCTTCCCAATTCAAATGATGGTGGCCTTCCATAAGTTACTTATCGCCAACTATGGTACTGTTATACCCCAAGTTCAGTCTATATGTGGTTTCTGTTTATCCCAATTGGTGTTGAACTTGAGAGTTTAATTCATACAGTCAAATTAATTACTCTGTTTTAGAAATACAGTCTCTAAATTCTTAAGTCTTAAACATATGCTTTCAGTATGTCCCAGACAATAAGTAAAATCTTCTATAATATTAATGCCCTAACATAATACCACAATGCCTTAGAAAAGGCCTTTAGCTGAATGTTTTGACCAAATAAAACCTTGACAAATTGATTAAAAGAAGTCAGGAAAATACATAAACAAGGGTAAGTGATTGAAAAAAAAATTGCACAATATTTGAAATTGTACCTGCTTGAAATTATGAAAATTTAGTATTTCTTAAAGATTTGCTTTTATTCTAATAAAATCGACATGGGATATTTATTATGTCTACTCACATGTTTATAACCAGTAAATAACCAAATGACCAAAGCTTCAAATGGATTTTTAAACGGTAAACATTTTTACATTCATTTTGATTTTAAAAAAGTTCTAAAAACAGTTAAGTATATTATTAAGTATATAATTCTGTATTACTTCCTGAAAAATTATAATATTAAAATTGCAAAGGTAGCCAATCTAGGATTTATATTATCTTTGACTTAAGATAAAAAGAAATCTAGTTGGAAATTAAGATACTAATATTTTCATGCTTTATAATAAAATATGTACACATTCTTGGGCGATTGGCACAGATATATAATGGAGGTTCTACCTTCCTGTGTAGGAGTTACTTGGTAATGAAACAAAGTGAGACAATCTGATAAAATATGACCAATTCCAAGAAATGAAGGAAATGCTTGTTCTAGGCATGGCATTATAGACAGTAGAACCCAGGGTCCAGGGCTCAGTTAAGCACGCACCATTCTGGTGATGCAAGAACAAGATAGACAAAGGGCGCAAAGAAGACAACTTTCTCTCCCACAGTTGCCTGAATGGCACTTCTTGAAAAACGAGGCAGTGTTTAAGGGCCAGAATACTAGGTTATCATAATAGCATCATAACTCATACTCACTGAAATATTGAGATCTAAGTTTCTACTTCTCAGCCCTTAGAGTTTAGGCACCAGTCTCACCTTCTCTTCCGATACATATTGCTAACTTTAGCACAAACATTGCCCATATAAACGATATGTAAAATTTATCAAAGTACAGGATTAATTAATCCATAATGAAGTTTTCTTCAACCCAGAAAATCCAGGAAAGTCACCGAGTGCCGTACTTTCCTAAGAATTATCAAGACACCTAAAAGATCTCTCAAACCTTGACATGAAACCAAGAAGTGTAGAGAAGAGTATCTAGAAACAACATACATTTGGATTCCTAGCAGTTGAATTGTTTTTTCTAAAGATTTATAAAATACATGAACATCAGAATTATTTTACATATAATATAGTATTTTGAAATTTGTTGGTGTTTCATGTAGTTTATTACAAATGTTCATAAAAAAATCAGTACACTAAGTTGTCTATCTATAGATATGTTCTGTGGAGATACATTATTACATCAAAGAGCAGATGGGCATGTCCTTTGAATCCATGTATTGAAATGATGCATCCACAAATTTTGTTCAAAACATCAAACACATTTACAAAAAGTGATGCAAGTTGAAACATTTTATAGCAATTTTTAAGGCAATAATGTGACTCGTTCTTAAGGAAACATCTGAAGAGTCTTCAGGGTGGACAGTTTGGGCCTTTTATTACCATGATTTTCCTATTTACAGGGCAAATAATATCACTGACACTCTTTTAATAATGTCATCTGTGTGCTTGAGCTGTCATGGAAGCCATTAACATCATATAAAGGGTCAATTTTGTGCACCCCTTAAACTTTTTGTTGTATCTCCCAGACACACATACACACACACACACACACACACACACACACACACACACAACCTTAATATTTCGTGGTTTTCAGTATCCTAGTATGTGCCTTATTATATTTTTAGATACTTAACACTGTCCTTGTATCTTCAGTAACTCTTGAGACCATTTTGTATTGAGAATCAACCTAGGTTAGTCCTATTTGGGTTTGTTTTGTGAAGAAAGAAAATTTCTTTTATGATAAAGAAAAGAATCACTTTTATATGTTATTGTTACTTTTGTTTTGCTTTGGTTTCTCTTCTGAAACATTTGATGGAATGTGGGGTTTTTGCCTACATATTTTTCAAAAGCAAAGAGAAAGAACATTGATAGATTTTACCTTTCAAAGGGTGCCTCTAGATCTGTGGCACCCCCATCTCACACAGCACAGGAATGCCCACACCTGCTGTGGAAAGTGAGTCCATGTTCTAATACAAATTGAACAGTTTCAAACACACAGCAAGTACAAGTGTATCCTTTTGTTACTGTCACTAAGTGATTTACTATGGGGTACAGTAAAGCAAAATAGCTGTTACCCTTTCATGGTAAACACCTGGTAGAACATTTGATCCTGAGCAGTTTTCTCCAAGGTTTACATTCTTGGTGCACTTAAAAATTATATAACAGCTTGTATAAACACTTGTTCGTAATGGTTAAATATGGCAGATGCCAAGTAATTTTCTAGCCTAATGATAAATTATTATATGTGGATTGTATTAGTTTTTAGAGATAAGGCTTCATTTTTTTTTGGAAGTGTTAGTCAAGAAAAATGAAATATAAACAACAGCAGCCTGACTACATAAAAATACTTGAGTGGATGAAATAGTAGATGAAAGTATTCACAATTTCATAAAAGTAATGGCATCTTTTTAGTAAATTAGGGATACTTCATAATATGTGGTTTTATTTTTGGTTCTCAGAGTTTCTATTGGTTAATTTCTATGATAATACTTAACATGTTATATACATACATATGTGAAGGTAAGTATAGTAATTAATATATTTATGAGAAATTTAATATTTCTAGTAAAAAATAAATTATACTGATAACAGATGTACAACTTAGGCCCTGTTGGAAATGTCATGTTGTCCCCACTGATGTCTAAAGGAAAAAAAATTCTAAAGGCCTCTGGGACATGTCATGTCATTAAAAAATTGGGTCTCTAAGAATAATCTTTATTGTTCCAAAAACTGTTTCCCGTGTTTTGTCTCTTGTAAAGTCTGTATTTTATTCTTTCATTTTCTGGATGAATTCCACCAGTTTGCATAATATAGAATTCTTGATCTTTCTGTTGAATTTTAAAGTTGAACACTCTTTCTCTCTCTGCCTAGGTATATACGTTCTGAGAGGTCCATAATTCTAATTAACTTCTGCCTGTCTATCATCTCATCCAACATCCTCATACTTGTTGGGCAGACTCAGACACATAATAAGGTATGGCTGATGATTATTCTGATTCCCTTTGCTTGTTTATGGTTTGACATAAAGTTGCTTATTGATAATCTAAACATTTGTTCTAGATAAAATGGAGAACTTTTGACAAAATTATTTTTAAGACAAATGAATAACAATATTGCCTATTCCAGACCAGATATACATTTTCTTGGCTTAATTTCTTGGGATTGAGAGGTTGTTTATGATAGCAAAAATATGGGTTTGTTAAACATTATATCAAAGCTCTATGAGTTCAAAGCCTTAGAACATCAGAAGCACAAATTTTGAATTATTATCCTAATTGTAATAGGATTGCCTGTCTTTTGGTCCAATTTAGGCACATACTGATTCCTAAAAGTCAACTATAAATTGCCTATAAGTGTAGCATACATCTTGAACCTCCCCCCCAAAAAATAAAAGTTGTTTATAGGCAATAATCAAAGAGTATTAGGTGAAAGCGACTCTAGATTTTATGCTTTTCAAAAAGTTTTGCTTAACCAAAAATATTTTTATACTTAACCAACACTGCAGTTCTTTAACCGCATAGTCATTTTCAGCAGAATGTAAATCTATAGATCCTGTTTATATGAATTGACTTGAGTTGAAGGACCATGTTTGTTCCACAAATGACTGTCAGCTCTCTACTAAACAACACTGAAATACATTCCAAGAAACCTGCAATAGCCATCTTAAATTAACTTATCCCTACCTCCAAGGAATTCTGGTAAACACTGCTTTAATAACATGTGTCGATCAATTCTGGCCTGTTCTTTTTTCTCAACTTGTTAAAATTTTCAAGTACTAAAGCCAGTAATTGAACTTTTCTCCCATAAGCTGTCATTTAAAAAACAACTCAAATGTACTTTCAGTAGGTTATTTTGATATATTAGGTATTTGTAGGACATGTATTAATGTCAAGGATTATGGATAGTTTATTTTGCTAACTGACACTCTTAATCTGCTGATTCCTACCCAAGAACCTGATTTTGGATCTGGGTTGGGCCTAGGAAGCTGCTTAGGTGATTCTGATGATTTCTTCTTGAATCATATTGCACTAAGCCAGGGGGAGGACTCAATGGGGAGGCCACTAATCCTGAAGGACCAAACAAAAACAATACCAACTCAAGAAAGGCCCTGGATAAGTAAAAAATACTTTCATATACGTATTTGAATGTTTCGTTTTTTTCTCACTTCTTTCCGATGTCTTGTTTTCTTAAAGCAAGAGAATATAAAGCATTAAAATCTGTTTACAGCCTGTTACAGAACAATTGATATCAGGCCCACATTATGACTATTTCACATAAATTTTAAAAAAGAAATACATAGGAAAAAAAATAGGAAGGAGAAAAACCCAAGGTGAGGGAGATGCCAATGGGAATTAGGAGAAGAAGAGAAGAAATGTACAAAATAATTAGCAGATGAAAAATGGAGGCTAAACACTGGGAATGCAAGGAGGAAGTGAGGGAGAAAGAAGTAGAAATGAAGGAGAGAAAATGGATCCGTAACCACTAAGGGATTATTAAATTACTCTGCTTTTCCCTTTTTGGCTGTTCACTTGGGCAGGGCTTCAGATGCCTTAGAAATGCTTCTTATTAATATCTATTCATAATTCTTTAACTGTTTGTCCTTGAACCTCCTCCACACAGAAAGAAGAGCTTCTCCCTGAAGTAGGAATTATTTACTGGGTCTGGGAACCAGAAAAAATATCAAGCTAGGGTTAGCTTGAGCCCATAGTTTTTTATGTTATTTTTTTCTGCCAAAGCCACCCTTGCTATTGTTGGTTACCCTCCAAACACTCTTGAGTTATGCCCCCTCTTTAGAATATGGAAAGCTGCATGGTTTTCAGTGGGAAATAGCCTTTTAAAACTGTTGCATGTTAAGTGGCAAAGTTTTTACAAGCTCTGAGTGAAATGGTAAAATGGAATTTTCCACAAGGTTTGCTACATACTACAGTGTGTATTGTCCAAATTATTATTGTCCAATAGAAATATAGTGTAAGCCACAAATGCAAGCCATGTATGTAATTATACTTTAGTAGCCACATTAATAAAGTAAAAACAAACAAGTGAAATAAATTTTAATAGTATAGCAGATCTTTGAATAATGTCATTCTGCTCAGTGTTATTTCTTTATAACATTGATGAGGTGCCATAGGAACTTAATTCTTGTTTATATCAATTAACCTGTGGTAAAATGGATTTCCTTATATCGTATATTGTTTTGCTTAAAGTCGTAGAACCTATTGACAATGTTAAGTGAGGACTTACTGCATATTATTTTAATACATATCCAAAAGATCATTTTAATATATAATTACTATTTTTGAATGTTAATGCAATATTTTACAATTTTTTTATTAAGTCTTAGGAATCTGGGTTTATTTTTTACTTACAGTACATCTACATTCAGCCTACCTCCATTTCAAATGCTCAGTGGCTACCTGCAGCCAATGAAAATCACATGTATAGGTCTATTTGGTAATAACATTCAGACACTAAAATAGTCTCAAGATATTACACTCTTCTTGCACGTTTTGGCTTTCTCAGGTTTCTAATGTCCCTATTTTTCATGAAAATGTCTTTGATATCTGCAAATATTAGAACATCAAAGGGAAGATAAGAAAAGTCTAGTTTACTTTCTGTTTCTGATGATAAAGAATGGCTGGTATGGGGTTAGTTTAAAAAAAAAAAAAAGAGAGAATAAAGCTTAGTGTCATTTGGATTCTCCCCAGGTAATCAACTGCTGTTAGATTTTACCTGGTTTGGGGACCATAATGGTTCTGGGCCAGATAGACAATGCTAATTTTTGCTGTGACAGTTACTGTTGCTTGTGGAAGGAGCAGGTGGTGATGCTAGTGGTGATGAAGAAAATGAGAAATTATTGGTTTTTCTCTTATGTTCATTTTGCTTTACTGCCTAAGTAGATGATCTTGCAAGCCTAGGACAATTCACTATAGAGTGACTAAGTGCAAAAAATGTAAAACCCTGGGAATTTATTCCTAGTCATTCTCAACAATATCAAGTTTCCAGGGGGAGTAATCATATATTGTATTATGATACATGTACTGAACTGAGTTCAATTTATCCTACTTCATTTTATATGTGAAATAACATTATGCGAAAAGCTATGCCTGCTTTAATGTATTTAGGATTAATGAATTCTCAAAAAAAAAAGAGAAAAAAATAAAAATGTGACATCTGTACATTACTGTGTAAACTCCAAGAAAGTGTTTTAAAAATGAAAAATATTGATTGTGGCTACAGTATATTATCTAGGTTGTGTGTGAGGACCCCACTGTTGCTGTGAGCATTTTGTAATTGATCAGATTCCTTTATTTTACTTCCCTGGTAAGTTTTGACTGATGCTTTAGTATTTTCCACTTGGAAAAATAGAAACATCTGAGAGGCTTCTTAATCAACAAGTTGGTACTGCCTCTGAGAGTTGTCATGGCTAGTTTGTGTGAAAACTGGCATTTGATGCTGATGTCCAGAAGAGTTTTGAAGTGTCATACTGGGATCTTTCTCTGAATAGCTTGTTGAAATATAATTGACTTGGTTATCTCACTATTGAGTATCTCTGCTTCCTTTAGAGTTGGGATAGAAACAAGCTGAAATAGTCCATTGTTAAAAATATGATGTATTCAAATTTTAAACTACAGATTCAATTGCTGGCAGCAAAGAAAAGAATCAAATGCAATTTCTTATATCCCTTCTTAACATGCAGTTATAAAATTTAATTATAACTTACTTCATTATATTTCAAGCTTTCTCACCAAGTGTCATTGCCCTTTGATCTCTTTGTGCATTCATAATTTCAACCAGGATTTTCATATACCACTCAAACATTGTTTATTTGTAAAAAATGTCCTTTGTACCATGAAGTGTGAATGTTTTCTGTTGAGCTGGGTAGTACTGTTTTGCAGAAAGCAAAGGTTATTTTAAAAACACATATATTCAGAGACTAGTTCCCATAATCTCAAAAATATAGATTGGCATCTTTCTAGAAGACTTCCAGATGATATATTAAAGGTTTCATAGCATTCTTTTTAACTGATGGAAGCCAAATTTGGCAAAACTCTTGCAGTTTTTTTTATTTGTTTGGCTAAATAATCGTAGCCACCCAAGAAGATTGAAGTGTTGAATAGACAGCCTCATTACTAAGTTCTAATGAAAGCAAGCCAAGTCCAGATTCTATCACAGTCATATATTTATTAGATAAACAGTTATTAGCAAATCAGGAACAAAACCTGTTCTGTAAACACAATGAAACCCTAGGTCTTTCTCATTTTAGATACTTTGACCATACTTTATATGCAACTTTCACTTGAGGGGAACATTGTAACACTTTAGAAGCAGGCTTCTGTGCCCTTCAGTCAGCATCATTCAGTCAGAAATCCTCCTAATCCGATGTCTGGAAACAGGAAGTTTGAGCATAAAGCTATGGACCCCATCTCTAAGAGGTGCAGGATATAATTCTCCATGGAACCTTTCATATAGTCTCAATGCCTTTATTTTCACCAAAGGGAACTCATTAATACATTCACCATAATGATTAAGCAAACACTAGTTCATGAGTGAACACCAATCTTTGGTATTCAGTTTGATAATGAGTAAAGTGTTGATTGTGAACAGATTTACCTAAATCAAAAGGACTTGCAGTTGCCACCTTTGAAGTATGGTCCTTTCAAATATAATGCCAGCTGACCACCCTGTTCTGAGCATTCCTGGACAAGTAGAATTGTAAAAGGTTAAATGAACCGGCACATATATTGTATCATAATTACAATACCCAGTGTTACAAAATAAATTAAGACAGCCTAAAAAAAATCCTAAAAGTTCAACATTTTGATAAATAATACTCAAAGATGAGAAGACAAAGTCAGACACTGACTTTAGTCCTGGAGATCTAGCAAAAGTCCTCAGTAACACGTCAAGGGAAGCTTCCCAAATTATTTCACATGGGCAAACACGGCCTTAGGACTATCTAAGAGGAATTTATCT